CCCCCCCCCCCCCCCCCCCCCCCCCCCCCCCCCCCCCCCCCCCCCCCCCCCCCCCCCCCCCCCCCCCCCACCCCCCCCCCCCCCCCCCCCCCCCTCGCAGGTCTGTTTCTGATCCTGGGTCTGATGCTGTATCCCGCTGGCTGGGGTTCAGACAAGGTCCAGCTGTACTGCGGCCCCGACGCGGCTCCGTACCGGGCCGGGCTCTGCTCCATGGGCTGGGCCTTCTACACGGCCATGGGCGGCACCGTTCTCACCTTCATCTGCGCCGTCTTCTCCGCGCAGGCCGAGATCGCCACCTCCAGCGACAAGGTCCAGGAGGAGATCGAGGAGGGCAAGAGCCTGATCTGCCTCCTCTGAGGGGCTCAGATACTTTAGCCCCTGTGGAGGGAAAAAGGAGGAGGAGGACGAGAGACACCCGCTCTTCTGCCTTTTCCTCACGAAGGCCGGCTTGTGAAACGGAGGCCCTGCATTGTTTACCACTAAAACTGACTCTTATTTTGTATGTTTTGTGTTTACGTGGGAGAAATCTACGAGTGCCAAGTGTTTTTTTCTCAGTGCGTGTCTTTTGTCTTTCTGCCACTAGAGGTGCTGTGTCCCGTTATTGTATTCATGTGTAGCCGTGTGGCTCCGTCTGTCACCACATGCTCTGTAAATAAGTGTGATTATATATATTTTGTACATAGTTATGATCGCAGAATGATGGTCAGCTTGATCCAGGCTGAGCTGATGATGTCACTCTTGCCTTAAAACAAACAAACAAAAAAAAAAAAAACAACAAAAAAAAAAACACTGGCGTTTTTGTCGCCAGACCACGACCAGTAAAACCTGGATCTGTTTGCCACGTTTGAGTATTAACTCAACAAGGGAACCACTACACAGTCAGAATAAACTACTCACAGAATAAATGGCCTTGAGCTCAGAGTGGATGTCCTATAAAGCTCACAGAATGTACTGTCCCGTGAATGATCAATGTGTCCGCAGACCCTTTGAAATGTATCGATGAAACACAGACTGCAAGAGGACGAGCGGAGGAGGCCCCCGCGGTTGCGTCTTTGTTTGTCCTTTTATTTTGCAAAAGGAAGTTGAAATGAAGTGAGCTGAATCCTAGCCTAAGCTGGAGGAGGAGGAGGAGGAGGAGGAGGAGGAGGGGGCTCTTGCCTGGTCTTCCTTCAGCAGACATCCTGGAATCTGTGCACAAAGACGAGGACTGAGAGATGAGGACGCATGATAAAATGAAGTATTGCTGTTGCTAGTGATGTCTGGTTTCAGGGAGTGTGCTGAGTCGTAGGTAGTGTCCTATCTGTTCTCATTTGTTTCTGCCAAACGAATAAAGAGAAGGGAAAAAAAAAAGAAAAAAGTTTGGTTTCAGTTTTTAACCAGCGAAAAAAAACTTCACTGTGGGGAAGAGGGAGGAGATGCAGCAAGTGGAGCAGCCACTCAGTTTGGTGCTGAGACCTCGGTTTGGCCCTTGAGGTGGGGGTGGGTGTGTTTTCCAGCCAGCGGGTGATCAGTTTTTCCACTGATGCAGAACTGAACTCTCCATGTGCGTCTCTCCGTGTGTTTGTGTCTCAGAGTATTTCCATTTGATGCTGCTTTATACTCCTGCTCCACTACAGCTGTAAGCGTGGACGGATTATGACACAATGGGGCCCCCCCCCACCCACCCACCCAACGTAGGAGCGAGACCCCCAAACTGAAAGAGACAAAACAGTTTGTCGTTGTTTTGTGTCTCTCTCTGTCTCTTTGTTGTTTTCTTGTTTATCTTTGTGTCTGTTTTCTGTCTCTTTCTGTTTTGTATCTTCATGTTTGTTTTGTGTCTTTCAGTGACATTTTGCAGGTGAACCCCAGGGGGCCTCTGGCCCCTGAGGCCCCCGAGGCCCCTGAGGCCCCTGGGCCTGTGCCCACGTAGGCCCGTCCAGTAACACATGCATGCTTGTAAGTATTGCACTTTTTCACTGCACGTCATTTACCTGACAGCTGTAGTAACTTTACAAATAAAGATTTCTTTTACAAAGAAACGTGATTTTCTCTCAGTGTTTTCCAGCTTTTCGGTTGCTTTGTGTCTAATAAAGACCCTTTATGTTTCAGATATGTAAGAAATAAAAAGGAGCTACTGGACTAAAACTATTTAACTGTATAGAAAGTATTTAAAACTCTCCACCTGGAGCAGCGACAGTAAAACGTCGTCACTGCAGAATAAGACCTTTGGTACTTTAGTCACATGTCCTGATAACACATCTGTAAGTAAAGACTTTTACTTGTAATGAAGTATTTTTACATTGTTGTATTGGTACTTTTATTTAAGTTTTCTCTCTTTTTCCCCAGTTACCAAATGCCAGTACTTGTGCACAACCTGTGTGTTTGTGTGTGTGTGTATTTGTGTGTGTGTGTGTGTGTGTGTGTGTGTGTGTGTGACAACTCCCTCCCCAGATGTTCCTCCCTCCATGTGGACTACAGAGAAGCCTCTGGCACAACCCTGTGGCTGCCTTCCACCACCAGTGCGCTCAAACTAAACACAGAGACTTGATGACTTCCAGATCAGGCACATGACAAATCGTGCAATCTGCAATTCAGGCCTGTTTCACCGCCAGAGGCTTCCAGGTTTTTGCCTTCTCATTTTCCCTCTTTTTGCAGAAAGAGAGTCAAAGAGGATAGAGATGAGAGAAGACAGAAACCTCTGAGTTTTGTTTCCTTTCACACCTGAAAGAGGGAACGTGTGTTTCTTCACATGATGGTTGTTAACAAGGTTCGTACAGATGCAGGTGCAGCAGCCTCCTCTCGTTAGTAGATACACCGACAACTTGTATTGTATATTTGCATTAACATGCCAGTTTTGCAGTTTTATTGTTTATTTCCTACTGAGGTAATTGGATACAAGTTCACACTATAAACAGATACAAGTTTTATCACTTTTTTTCTCTTATGAGATCAATCGTATCTGTATATCTGATGTTATATTGACAAACCTTTATAGGAAGTTCAGTGTAACTTCCTGAATTTGTTATATTATAGGTAATCATAACGAATGCAGCTTTAAAGGTCCCATACAGTCTAAAGGTCTCTGTCCGTGTGTAGTGTGATTATAGATCACACTACACATTAATACTGTGAAAGTATCAAAGCCTCAGTCCACAGAGAAATGCACACAGCCTGTATTCAGGAACTGAGCCTTAAAACCAGCCGCCAGGACTTCCTGTAACTTTATGATGTCACAACAAAGCAGTCACCGCCCTCATGGCTCATGAACTCACACGCATGAAATGCTTTGTAGTATCTCGACTGAATTCATCATGTGACAGGTGTGAGGAGAGCAGCTGACAACCGGAGGAAGACCATGTCACAGGCAGCTCACAGCTGAGGACTGCTGCTGTACACACACACACACACACACACACACACACTCTCCTGAAAAGCATGAGAGGCATGAAAAGAGTCTGTGAGAGGTTGTTATTCCTCCTCTCTGCCCCTTCCTGTTGGCAGTGACCTGCCTCTGCTACCAGCTTCCTCTTTTGTGAGAGTGTTGCTCTGCTTTATTTCACACAGGATTGTTTTAGCAGAGACCAAAGGACTCGGCACCTGGTCCTTAAACGGTCTCAGAGTGTGTGTGTGTGTGTGTGTGTGTGTGTGTGTATTTTACACAGCTTCTTTAACAGGTCTATTATTGCCACTGCTGCTATGAATAGCTCTGCATTGTACTGTTGTAATTGTAAATGTTAAAACAAATGAATCTGTCAGGCTGGCGACAGGATTTTTACCCCTTACAAAATTCTCTTTAAAGCACTTTATTAGGAACACCTGCTCGTTCGGGCAATTATCCAATCAGCCAATCATGTGGCAGCAGTGAAATGCATAAAATGCCACAGGAGCTTCAGTTCATGTTCACATCAAACATCAGTGACTTTGACCGGCAAAGACTCTGAAGCTGCTGCTCTCCTGGGATCAGCGTGGAAAAGCCTTTGTGTTGTTTTTGGAAGCTGTTGCATTGAATTGACACAATAAAATGATTAAAAAAATGATTATAAAAGTAAAAAACAAACAACAAAAATAAATGAAGTAAAGACTTAATTCTGTTGTTGATCAGCAGTGATTCGAAATATGAGGACTGACTACATAAATAGATTAAATCTGCAACATATTTGCAGTGAAGTGAACTTCATGTTCTTTGGCAACTACTGACATCATGTGGTTTTCAGCTGCTGGTACAAGCCTCTTAAATATTCAGTGTTTGTGTTTTAACCCACTAAGAGCAAGAACCCTCGTCTTGTCTGTCATGATGAACTACAACTAAAAGAAATAAAGAGAACTAAATGTGAATAAACATGTTAGACAAAACTAAAATGAACTATGTGGATATGTAATCTATCTTCCAATTCTTTAGTGCCGATGAAGCAGTATCTCACAGCTGATTGGCTCTCAGTGTATGACCTGTACAGGTTCACTGTAAGTGTCCAAAACATTCACTGTATTTGTTGTCAAATAAATTCAAGTCCAGGATAAAAATCCAAAGGCCACTAATGCACCATGGGAATGTGGTTCATGCAGTCAAAAGAATACACTGTGTAAACAAAGCCTCAGCATTATTTCAAGGGCGTAGGTTTGCTCTCAACGTTGGTAGAGACGCAACAACCCGCCACCCTTCCAAAACAAAGATATTGACTTTTTAATACTGTCAACCGAATGTTTTTTTAACATAGAAGATTGGAATTTAAATTCGGAAATGCCCATACACAATGTCAATGTACAATGTCATACTATAGTAAAGCATAAAAACGTCAAAGTATAGTGAGGAATAAAAAGTCATAGTGTAGTGAGGCATAAAAACATAATAGAATAGTAAAAATCCAAAACTATAATAACCTTTGTCTGAATATTTACACCACCACAAATATAAGAGAAACAATAAAAAAAACATACAGAAGAAGAATTTTATTCAGTGTTAATACAATAAATATACAAAACTCAAACTACTCAACATGCGACTGAAGGTGAAACCAGAGTGCACCTTAAAATTACAATGAAATTTAGAGCAAACCGCCGACCATCTGTAAATCATACAAAACATACAAACTCCCCCTTCAGTCATTTTTCTGAATAATTTCATTAAAATGTAATCGTTAAGAGATGCTTCTGAGTAGATTAATTTCATTCTCATTGTTTCTACCACATGCCATGTTAATTATAAAGCACATCTTAAAGCCACAGTCCATCTACAGGACGTCACACACAGTTCACATTGCATTGCAGTCTAACGCCTTTCTCACATTTATCATGGATTTTCTTCTTTTAAGCAAGTCAAAAATAACAGCAGAAATCTTTATCAGGAATAATCTCATGTTGCTTTGTACATACATTAAATGTACTTAGGCTTAGACATGTACTTGTCCTAATTAAGCCAGTGTGAAATAAAGACAAGGCAAAAAAAAAACCAAAAAAACGAGCATGTTGCAGGAAGCTTCAGCAGATTTAAAAGTAGAAAAGTCTCATCCCAGACTCTGCCCTGCAAACAGAGTAAGACTTAAAAGGCCCCATTTCCCCTCTGTTTACACTCCTACACATCACACACTCACAAAGGCTTAACTGGCTTAAACATGACGCACAACAGACAGAGAAATCAGACACATTCAAAAACGGTGAACAGCCGCTTTCGCAGCTCCCACTGATGCGACACAAACTCGTAGTGTTTAGAAAAAGACACATTCGATTCAATATTTTTGAAATGACCGCACGCCGGAAAGAAAGGAGACTAAGAAGAATGACCCCGTCACGTCTTCAGATCTGATGCTTCTGATTGTGGTTGGAGTTCAGTGATAGTCAACCCACAACTCTCAAATTATGAATAAGCAAGCAATCATAGACATTACTGGCCATTTCTGTCATCTTTTTTTTAAACATTTTTATTGCAATATATTCATTTACAGCACATATATTTAACTCCAAGGGGCCAGTCTGTGTCTTAATTTTGTACAATCTGGTATAATTTTTTTAACCTCGTCATGCAAGTGAAGAGTACATCCTGAGTACAAGTGAGGTAAATCTCCAGAACGCGAGAGAAGCTGGAGACGAGTTCGACTTTCCTCTTCAGAACTGTATAAACATGCAGCCGTATATACAGAGTAGTGGATCTCTTTAGTGTGTGTTAACAGTGCCATTCGTTTCTTCCTGTTGGAGGGAATGACACCAAAGGTAGGCTTGATGTAGAAACTTTGCTGAACTCAGCTGGTGCATGTCAGACGTATGGATTACACTAATGAAGCGGGAAGGCGTGAGGCCGTCGTTATAAACATCCTTTCATTTGAGTCGAATGACCGGATTTAAAGTGCAACTTGGTGAGATTTCACGATGGATATGTAGCTCATTGTAGGCAAAAGATTTCAAGCAAAAAAAAAAAAAAGATACTTGAGAGCAAACTTTAAAGTGATATTGCACCCAAAATCAAAAAGGTTTAAGTATCAAACACTGCAGGAGTTATTAGGAGAATTATCGCCTTGTGGTTTGTACACCGCTGCCGGCCAAGTTGCAGGAAATATGATCACAATCGTGAGTTATAGTGTTGAATAATAACCAGAGGTGTTTTCACAAAACATTATGATGTCACACTGAAGATGTCATCACTTCACTTTATTCCTTATAGACATTTGAACTAAACTGTGTCATAATTAGTGTATGAATTTGCGCTTTGTGAGGTAACAGTGACCTTGACCTTTCACCTTTCACCACCAAAATATAATCAGTTCATCTTTCAGTCCAAATGAACATTTGCACGAAATTTGAAGATGTTCCCTCGCGGCGTTACTGAGATTTGACATTTACAAGAACGGAGCGAATGGACGGACGGACATAAAACATAATGACTTAATAATTAACCGGTAGATTATTAGACACAGCAAAAATCATTAGCCTTACAGTCTACAGGGGGGAGTGTTTGATACTTAACAGATGAGACTTTGGGTGAAGCATCACTTTAAGGACCACGACGACACACTCTCTTAAAACCCAATTCTGAGGAAAGCAAACACTAGAAGGCAAGGCAGTGAACTGGAATGCACAGCATTCATCTTCAACAATACAACGTCCCTCCACTGGGGGGCAGCAGTGTTATGTACTCATGGAAAACAGCAAAAAAGTAAATCTGCTGCGTGTGCATTCAGCGACAACTAGAGAGCACGAGATGACTTCCACTTGTCCAATAATAAATTAATTTTTAAAACAGGAAGTAGTGATTAAGGTTGATAAATTAAAGAAAGGCCCGAACACACAGAACTTCTGAGACAGCTGATGGTGGGAAACGCCCCCTGCAACTTCAGAAAGTCGAACTTGGACATACAGGCCTGGAGGCGGCACCGACGTTTAAACAGGCACACAAATATGCATTTACTTGGCCACACACACACACACACACACACACCCACACAAAAAAATAAAGTTGATCAACGCTGGTTGAGTGGTGGGAGTGCAGCGTAGATGAGGGGTTCCCAGAGTCAGAGATGAGAATGTACAATGTTGCCGGGTGGCAGGTGGAGGAGGAGGACAGCGGGACAGAGCTGTGACCCTGTTTGAATGATCCCAGTGGTGGTTTTCTCTCTCACACTCAGATCTCAGATCAGAGGTGACTGTACTGCCGTTACATAAAACCACTCCCACATTGTCAGAAGGTTAGACGACACTCTGCGTGTTCAAACAGGGCACTTGGCTCGGTCGAAGCTGGGTGCTGCGTTTGTGAGAAGTGGAAGGAGGAAGGAGGAGGGGGGTGGACGGAGGGTGGACGGAGGGATGAGGGAGCTCTCTGGGCCAATCAGATCTGCTCCTTGAAGTTTCCTTGTGCAGCCCTGGTGGCGGCATTAGCGGCGGCCGTCTGGACCGTCTTGTTGGTCATGACGCCCGTGGCAAACTCCTGCTGCGCCTTCTCGAAGCTGGCGCCGGTGGTCCGGTACATCGCATGGACCTGGTGAGGGACGAAAGACATGATTTAAGGTCTGAACAGGCGGCAACAGACTCTACTTGAGTATCTTGTGGGTTTGCTGTGTGTCAGCTGCACCTTTTTGAACATGATGAGGGACATGACAGCCAGCGACGTAAAGAGAGCAGCGATGAGGATCATGATAATGCCCACTGGGATGCTGCGATTCAGGCCGGTCAAAGCCGAGATCCACCCACTGAGAACAAGAAAGGAGATGTTTGGTGATAATCTGTATTTAAATTATTGTCAACAAATCCTGTAAAAATATACTTTGATCTGAATAACAAGTATTGTGGATGTAATGATGTTATTCTTCGTTGTCATAGAGCTCCGGTTTTGTCTGAGAGCTTTTAAAAAACACATGAAAATTGAACAAAGTCACTTAAATATTAGTTATTTGTTAATTAATTAATTATTTGGTTTTTTTTTTAGTGCGTCTTCATTCTCACCTGGCGCCCCAACCGGCGATGCCAATACACTGGATAACGTAGACGGCGAACTGACTGATGTACACGAAGAAGAAAATGAAAAACCTGAATGAGCTGTCACTCCTGAAGAAAGAAGAAAACAGGAAGTGACCAACATTAACATTAACTGGATATTTTTTTTTTAAATTTGATGTCATCTTTTCCGCTTTTTAACGTAACTCCTTTCCTTGTTCCCTGCCTGGAAAACTTTACCTGAACGCTGCGTAAAGCGGTCTGTACCAACAGACGAACGAGCAGGGGGTGAAGAGCATGAGCCAGAGGATGGACAAGCCGAAGTCCACCCCGCGTGTTGCATCCACACAGAACCAGGCCAGGCAGCCCACCATGTTAGCCAGCAGCGTCCCAGTGTGAACTGAGGTACGAGGAGAGAAAAAAAAATAAAAATACAGCTAATATCTGGATGGAGTATTGGGAAGGAGGCTGGAGGAAACATTTGATGGTTAATATTTCAACATGCAACACTGAGAACATTAAAACACACACGCTTAATAATTCATCTTTCACCATTTGTTCACGGCATCCTGATTGGCGAGTGTGTGGTTGAGGCCATTGCACATTGTGCAGCAGCAGAGTCTGTGAAACTGAGTGGATTTTTACATCACAGTGTGAAATATGACATTCGCCTGCTTGTTAACATACCAGCTGAGCGGGGGTGGGAGGGAGACGCTTGAGCTCAAGATCTGTCTCTACTCGAGTTTGGAAACGATTCAGCTTGTTGTTGTTTTCTTTATGAAAGTATGAAACTCTTTGCTTTTATCGGACTGTGAACAAACTAAAAGGGTAAAAACAAAGGGAGGAAGTTCTCACTGCCTGCTCTCTGAGGTCTGTATCTAAACCAACCTTTAACAATCATCTGACCCAGTCACTTCACCGGGCCACATGACTGCACCACGTGTCCTCGTCATGTGGCTACTGAATTCCACTGGAAGCCGTTCACTCCCTGAATCACAGATGAAAATGGTAATTTTTGAACACCAGGGGGGCCGAGCTGCAGAGGCTGCAGAGGGAGGAGACGTAGCTTTCTCTTATTCAGGAGGGGCCCTGGATAAGAGAAGCTGCAGTAGATCTTCCCATCTAGCCTCTAGTTCAGTATCATTGTGAAGAAATTATCAGAAAAACAAAACATTAATAGTTATTTATAAAAATGATTTTGTGTTTTATAGAGACAAAAGATGGCGAATTAGATTGATTAACTAGGCTAATCTTGTTTAAGAGTCCTGTCCTGAAATAATCTTCTTATCTCTTTACGTCATGAACAGCTGTATCTGCAGATTTACACTTTTGTAACACGTGATATTAACTAGAACCAGAACATTTATTGAATTAAATGCAAATAAAGAGACTGTTACAAAGATCATATCTCTTCATTTCCCCGTCCTCTTTAAACAGGAAGTGTTTAGATTTGGCAGAAAAAGGCCCCCCCAAAAAAAGTGTGAATGGCTGCTGTAAATATGAACATGTTAACTGGCGAGTATGTTCATCCAAGAGAAATACTCAGTATCACCACATTGAATAACTAACCAGTCATTAAAAACAAGTTTAGGCTTTGAGTAATTAGGCCACGTTCAGGCAAAAAAATTGAACCCGGCTCAGCTCGGTGCTGCATTGGCAAATCAAATGCATGCAAGTGCACATTCCTGGTCGATTACTTTGTAACCTGAACACAGTATTTCTGCCGTTTACCTTGAAATCGTTACAACAAAAGATAAACTTGTTGCCACCGTGAAAACTTTCCATAGTTGTAAAATCTGACCCGTGATTATTACAAACCACTGTGAAGTATTTCTATGTGCAGCGCCAGGGCTCTGAGCCTATAGCTATTTCAGATCTGGACCGACGGACTGACATTATAATAAAGGAATAAAAACTACGACTCACACATCCAGAGGTAGTACATGATCTTGACCGTCTTCTGAAACTCTACAGGGATGTCCACAGTAATGTCATGGTAGAAACAGGGGCCCACGGGGAACTTCTCCGGGAGGGGGGGCCAGTTGTTTTTCCTGCCTGAAACAGAGAAATAAGAAAATGAGCGACTGTGACGCTTGAAAATGAACGTGTGAATCATGCTTTATACTTCAGGCTGCTCACTAATGACACATCACTTCAGGCTGAGACAGTCAGGGATAGAAGAGGAGTCGGTTTACTGACCAGCTGCACGTGAACATGTGTTTTACAGTAACCAGGTTACAGGTACAATGAATGCATTCTCTGATTTCCTGCCTGGATTCTTGTGTGCATGCCAACACGGTCACAAAATGCACAGCGTAATTTGATGTGATGGAAGAGATGCCATTTATTGTGGCTAATGTGGTTGAAAATAGAAAAGCTTAAGCTGCCTCTGTAGAGGATCTACGGGGATTTGGAGGAATAGTTCGCCATTTTGGGAAATCCTCTTATTTGCTTTCTTGTTGAGAATTAGGTGACAAGATTGACACTAAACATGGATGTTATTAGCTCAGTTTAGCACAAAGCCCTGAAACATGAAGCTAACCTGGCTCTGTCCAAAGGTAGACATTTAAATCTGACTAATTAACGCGTCACTATTACTACCAATGCCATTTCTTGGCTGCATGCAGTGACTTCATGGCGTCACTGCTGCTTGCCTCATGGCCACATGGTGATGAAAAGACTCTGTCCAGCCAAGAGATAAGAAGGTAAGTCCCTGTAAAAAAACACAATTTGACATTTTTGTGCAAACAAGATACAGAGATCACTCCGAGACTACTTCCCCATTCTGAGACCCGACTGTGAGTTTCTAGTGCAAACAAAACTGCTATAAAACCAGGTATAATGCTTATTTTTTGTTTTACAGTAAATATAGTTTACTAAGCTAAGCTAGTCGCCTCCAGCGTCCAAATTCATATTTATCTCCTCATCTAACTCTCGGCAACAGGCGAACTATTCCTTTAAATTCAGATCGTGTGTCATTTAAAGTGTGACAAGAAGAAAACAAGGGGGTTAATCAAACCATGTTCTGGTCCCAACGACAGAAAAACGTGTCATATTTTCAGTGGATTAAGAAACAGTATAAATGTTTGTTGTGGCAGCCGTGCTCTGCAGCTGTACGCTGGTGTCTGACCTCCTGAAGCACTGAGTGACTGCATCTCTCTCTCCCGGCGGTCCAGCTCTGCAGCCTTCCTCTCCAGCTCCTCCTGTCGCCTCAGGAGCTCAGCAGCTGCTCGCGTCTGCTCCTACACACACACACACACACAAACACACAGAAGGAAAACATGTCAACGAACTTGTAAAAGTATAGGAGTGTGTGTGTGTGTGTGTGTGTGTGTTGCGAGCCCAACTGTGTGGCTGACTATTTTTTCGGCTTGCTAGAAATTCTCTGTTTCTAGTTTTGGAATAAATCCAAATCTCTACAGGAGGGGAGACATCACAACAACATGTTCCCAGGAGTCTGCCTGCAAACGAGATGCAGCATCACAACTTATTTCCTCTGTCGGCCCAGTCACAGACACAGACAGCTTCCTGCTGAGCTGCTTTTCTGTCCACAGACGCAGCATGAAACCAGCTGTTCATGTATTTTCACTGTCAAAATCTCTACTAGCGACGTTGGACTAAACCATTAGAGACACACAATACAGTATCGGCATGGTGACAATGTAAAGATGTGCAAATTAAACCTGTCATTTCCCAGCGGACCACAGTGTGTGGTGTGAGCGTGAGGTCAGTAATACCTGCGCCTGAGGCTGCGAGTAGGCCGGAGGCTCCTCTGTGGGCTTCATGATGGCGGGTTGTGTGTTGATGGTGGGTGCAGCAGCCTTGGGCGCCATACCCGCAGGTGCCTATGGAAAAAAACCAAAACATGAACAGTCAAAGCGTGTTGTCGTTACAGCTGACAGGGTGTGATGATGCAAAATTTCACTCATCACATCAACAGTCTGGCAAAATGTGTGAAATGCTCCAAATTGAGGAAGTTATTTTTCTCAGAATGGTGAATGTCTCTTATAAAACTGGTAACAATGATCAGGATAATAACAATATAGAAAAGCAGAGTTGCGACAGGGGAAAAATATAGGTGCTATATTCCTCCAGTTAGTCAGAATAAACAGTGTTGTACTCACTAAATCCCTTTAACCACCAACCTAATCAGTGATGTCATGCTGTGCTGTTCTCTTATGAGGCTTTTATTTGGTGAAATTTGAGCAATAAGAATATAAAATTTGAATAATATAGTCTTAATTATTATGCAATCAGTGAATCTGAATTTAAATAAAACTCAATTTGTTTTGAATTTAACCCAAAATAAAAAGGTTACAAGACTGCGGTTCGATCTCTGCCTCCTCAAGTCCACGTGTCGCAGTGTCATTGGACAAGATACTGAACCCTAAATTGCCCCTGATAGCTGTTCCAGTGTGTGTATGGGCATGATGTATGAATGTGTGAGTGAACGGGTGAATGTGACCAGTATTGTAAAGTGCTTTGAGTGGTCGATAAGACTAGAAAAAGTGCTACATAAGTGCAGTCCATTTACCATAAGGCCTGTAGTCGGACCTTTAAACACTTTGGAGCCACAAGTCTGAACCAACTCTGTGATACGATCTTTAAATGCTTCGTACAGACACAATCAGACGACTGAGTCTGGTACAGAACAGAAGCTCTACTGAGGCCAGAGCGTCACACTGCTGAGACAACGTATTTTAAAAAGGTTTAATCTTTATTTTCAGTGTAGTTAATATATAATTTTAAGATTGTGAGAACAAGAGCTAAACAATAAACCAGGACTGACTGTTTGAGTTATCACCAGTTCCTAATTTTTGGGTGGTTTGCGCAGTTAAACTACAAATTACAGTTACAAAAGCTCTCGTAGATTTGCTCGTCACGTCTAAGAGAATATGTAAGACCGATGAGCAGTGGGGATTTATACACCACCCTCAGTGATTTGTCTTATTTCCCATGTAACACAATTTTTAATTAAACAGCGATGATTATTATTCCCATCACCACTGCATCATGTGAAAGTCAGAAATAACAAGGATCGCTTTCAAACTAAATAAATCCTCTGAATCCCGTAAATGTTGTTCCGAACAACTGTTTGACACATGAGCTCACTGGTTAATGTGTAAACGCACTCACTGGTTTGGCATCTGTGAAGGGATTGTACTCCTCCAGCCCAGGAGGAACCGCCTGTCTTACTTGGGTCACTGATGGATCCTGAGAAAAACAGAATAAAAACATCTCACATGAGATGACGTCTTGACGTGTCTGTCTTTCTGTGTTTACCAAGGACACCAGTGGAAATCTCTTACGGTAAAAGGAAAAAATGGCTCATGAAAGTGTAACAACCCTCCATTATTCTGCCAGATCAAGGCCAAACAGCCCTCTTTATTCAAAACGTAACAGGCCTATAATTCAATAGTGGAAATGACGGGATGATTCCAATAATTTTCACGGGAAGACGTCTATAAATACCCATGAAAGGGAAGGGAAAGGGAAGGTGGTGGTGGTGGGGGGCCGAGATGCTTCTGGCTGCTAATGACAGACATAAAAAGGGAAACTCTGGGTTTTTCTAGTCGCTGCACTGCAGAAAAAAAACTTTCTGATCCTTTGAACCACGTGCTTGATTTGAAAGACGAGCACATTAAACAAACTTGTTCACAAACAACCAGCGTAACATGAGTTTTACTATGTAAAGAGACTGACATCAAAATAAAAAATATAAATACACTGAGTACAGTGTATTTTTACTATACTTGACTATATAGATACTACTACGTTAAACTTGAAATATTGTACTTTTTACTGCACATTTATTTCATATAGTTACTAGTTACTTTCCAGATTAAAATTTTACATAAAAAACATTTCAATTAGTTTATAAAATATAAAATATGATGCATCATTACAGATTAACTACAGTATAAAAAATACACTGCTGTCTAAAACCAGCTCCACCTTGACAACGCTGAAACGCTCCTTACACGTTAATACTTCACATCTTATTCCAATACAATACAATAATCAACATTATAATGGTGCCATTTTTACTTTTGATACTTAAAGTATATTTTGCTGCCTCATTTTAAACTGCATTTTTATACTGTGGTGTTGCACCTTTTACTTAAATAACAGATCAGAGTACTTCTTCCACCACTGTATATACTGTATATATACATCAGTATATACTGCTGAGTGGCTGTAATACTGGAGCACAGCTGCAGTTGTGTTCACTTATTCAACGACTGTGTAACAGGTCAAACTTTAAAAGTACATAGTTCCTTGTTCCTTGCTGGCAGCAGTTAAGCTACTTTACATTTTCATACATGTCTTATTATAATAATCTTACCATCAGCTGATGTCAGTCAGGAACTAGTTTCATTCAAATTGCAGCTCAGCATTAACATCCAATCTGCGTATTCCTGAAGTGCTTATCCTTATCCAGTCTCAGTGCAGTCCTCTCACTGACTCTCTGACTCTTAAATTTCTAGGAGCATCTCCTCCTCTGCCACACACGCGCACGCACGCACACACGCGCACGCACACGGATGCACATGCACGCACACACACACACACACACACACGCAGGCTGCAACTTGTCACCAGACCGGGGTCATAAATATTTCAGGGTGTGTCATGTTTAAAGTTTAATGCCGTCCTCTTGCAACAGCCAAACAAACACATGCATATTCACCGAGTACAGAGTTTTCATCTTGAAATCTATAGTTCATCATCACCACGCAACGGTCGCAACCTGTTGCACGTCTGCCCGTGTGAAAACTCATTTCATGCTTATGGATTTCCTGTCACCTAACAAAGCACAAACTAGTGAACCTGTAACCACCATGATCCTGATGTGGCCGACAATAAAAACAAGGTTTTCTGCTTCAGCAGGTGAACAAATCTCACAAGCTGATGACACTTTATCCTTCAACACTTAGCCTACTGTGCTGTATTAAAAAGGTGAAGCTGCAACGTGTTAACACGTAATTATACAGAGACGATCAAATGTGACATCTATGCTTTTCATTAACTGACACAGGAGCCCAATTTCTGTAATTAGCCCACATCCAGAGAAATAGGCCAAAACAGAGCGAACGCTCTGATGCTTGACTGGCAGTGATGAAATTTAGCAGGAAATGCGCCAGCGAGGATCATCGCACCACATGTCACCATGATGGCGCCATATGATTTCATGAACTATTTAAGATAGCTCAGAGTAGGGAAGAAAGCTCCATCTTCTCCTTGGGCAAAAACAAAAACGAGTGTGGGCCAACGATTGACAGAAAAATGGCAGAACAGCAGGGGTTCACTAGTCATGTCAGAATGTTAATAGGGACCCCATGAATTATTAACTCTTTGTGCATCTGTACGGTCAAACTGTGCCGTCAGCATCTTTCACCGTCACACACGGAGAAAGAAAGATGGTGGAAGGATTTCTTTTGAGTTCATGTGATAAATTAAAGACTCTAAAATGAGAGAAATCAATTACCATGAAGTATTAGTCAATTGTGGCATGTTACATATCTAAAATGTCAGATGTGCTTTCTTTGTATAATATGTGATGATGTAAACAACCTCAACAAATCTCTTTTAACTTAAAGTTATGATGCGCATTAGGTCTGCAGATAATGATCAATACAGATTAATCTGCCAACTATTTTCTGATTGATTCATTGACAAACACTCAGCTCTTCTCACATTTGAGCTGGAATCATTAAACATTTGGCATTTTGCTTGAGAAATGATTTAAATAATTAATCGACGATCAAAATAGTTGTCAATTAATTTTCTTTCGATTGATCGACTAAAAGCTGCTACATCAATCATTTTTGACACAGTACAGACTCTAAAACGTAACGAATATTAATCCATAGTGAAAATCAGGGCTGCAGGTCAGTTATTATCAATATTGATTATTTTTTCGATTTTTTAATTAACTGAATCATCTTTGGCCACTAAATGAAAAAGCTAAAGTTGACATTTGCAAATCGCTTGTTTTGTTGGACCAACAGTCCATAACCCAAAGATATTAATTTTAATTTCATGGAATTTTTTTAAATTTTTTTTATTGATTATGAAAATAGTTCTGCTGTTCACTTATTCTGCCCATGATCAGTGCACCTGACATGATGAGGTAGGGAGGGAGCTAGTGTTGTAGGTGTACTGAGGGAGGCTGAGGGAGGAAGACATTACAGGGCTGAAGAGCACATTATCAAACGCAGCGTTTCTTCATGACAAGACACTGTGAAGACAAGACTGTCCGTAGCTGGAGGCCTAAATGAAGCCAACAGCATAATGACAGCATGACAGTGACAAAAAGGACAATCACTCAACCACAACATGTTCTGCTCTCATTTACTTCTCTGTTTCTGAGTCACTCCAATGTCAGTTTTAATAGCTTGATAAAAATTCAGCATTAATTCCCTCAGTATTATCATCTCTGGTTTCGTATAAAAAGTTAATTACCAGGATTTAATGTAACTTCAGGGTTACATTAAATTATATACTTAATGTCCAGTCTCTTTAACAGGCTTGAAAACAGGAACAATGTTAGAACAGCAGCTTATCTACTTAAACACAAATGTGTGCATGTTCCCTTCATAGACCTGTAAAGGGAAGGATGCCAGATGGGTGTTGAGTTAAAACCAGTCATGGAAGACTCATTTAGATCTTTTACTCGAGTTCAAGTGCCAGTACAACAATGTAAAGAGTGTCAATTTACAGTACAAGCTCTGTGTTTGAATCCTATTTCAGTAAAAATACACAAGTATTATCAGCAAAATGTAAGTAAAAAACACAAAAGTGAAAGTTTTCAAACTGTGTGACTGATATATTATCATATAAAACATTAATAGACTGTCAATATTACATTGCATTAATTTTAATTAATAAATAATGCTAATGCATTAATGTGCACACAGTATTTGTTGTAGCTGGTTAAGGTGGAAGAGTTTGAACTATTTCAGGGCTGCAACTAACAATTCCTTTAATCGTCAATTTATCTGCTGATGATTTTTAAGGTGATTTAAGGTCCCCACTGTAATTTGATAAATGCAAAAATGATGTGTTCAAATTTGGTGTTTTATTCACCACACAGTACTACAAAGGGTCACAAGATAAATGTGAAGTTCTGTCAGGTTTAAGTTTGGAGTAATGAATCAACCCAGTTTGTATAGGTGTTTACTTTGAACTAACCCTTGAGGCAAACGACGTGGTTTAATTAAAACGGCCAGCCTTCCTGCAGTCTGATTCAGAGACACACCTGAAAAGCTAGCACAACACTGCCTATTACCTATGAATGTAATGCCACTCCAGTCAGCTAAAGTGCAGCAATATTAAGTGTCAGTCTAAGTAAATCCTGATAACACGTGATATAACGTTTTTGTTGGCAAGTAACTTTATAACAGCAGTTTAATATAGATTATTCAGACTTGCTTGGCTAAGTACCATGTTACTAATGTGAAATAATGCAGCAGCTAATGCTAACGCGGCTACCTCAGCTGGCTAACGTTACCTGAAACGGGCTGCTGAGGTCCGGGTCCGCGAACGGGTTGCTGTCGAAATCCGACATTATCCTTATTTGTGTCCTTATCGTTCAATGTGCCACAGAGCTGATATCTAAAACCAAAGTTTAGGCTAGCTGCCACAAAAAAATCACCGTTTCGGTTTGAGGCGATGACACGGTCGGAGGTGAAGTCCAGTATGGACAAGGTCCAGAGCTACAGTCCAGAGACACTACCGAGGCACGGGATTGGTCACTGGCAGTGGATCAAATGTGAAACAACCAGGCGGAAGTAAAGCAACGTCACGTCCTAGTTTTCAAAACAAAACTCAGCAGGAGCAGGCTCATGCAGTGAGATCATGGATGTATGAGTGAGATAGCTCCAGCAAAGTAAACCCACTCTAAACAGATATGGCGTACTTTTATTTAATTTTACGCGAGGAAATTATGTTTTTTTGTGAAATTTTGGATCATTTTACCTCTTTAAACTTATAACTTTGTTTTATAGTATTATTTGAGGAAGATTTGAAGAAACCGCTGTTTTTCATTGTGGGGAAATTGTTTATCAGGGTATTAATTTTGATTAATGAATTAACCCAGTTTGTGTATGTGTTTACTTTGAGCTAACCCTTCTGATACTTGTTTAATTTCTGTATTAAATCAGCATAAATGACCAGTCAAAGGTTTTCTTAGAATTTATAGGAAATGCATATGGTCATTTTGAACCACTTAACACAAAGACTTCATGTATATTTACGTAAAAAAGTAAACTATATAAATAAAACAGGTCAGTGGGTGGCTAACAAACACGTTATTTTTGACATTTTTGATATCTGACATGAATTAAAAAATTCCAGTCACAGAAATATTATTAATTTTTTTAAACCTTTAATTTAACCTCCTAGCGCTGTAAACGGGTTACACTAAAATAATACGGAAAATAAAAAAATAATACGCAAATCACGTTGAATGAGTGGCATACGCAATTTTATGTTCACTTTCTTCCTCTCTGAGAGGAACAGTAGTAACGTTGTTTCCTTGGCAACACAGTGGCTCGGGGCGTTTCGACCATAGATCTAGAAATTCTAAACAAGTAGTTTCGGCAGCCATCGCTAAGCAGTCTTTTCTAGTCGCCAAATGTCTATGTCTCGTCTGTTGCTGAAGCCCTGTCATGTGACACCAACTTGTCCAGCTCACACTTCCGCTACTGCGTGTAAAAAAGTTGGGTGAAATCTCGAACAAGTTTGGCTCTGCAGGAACTTTACACGCTTTAACACTATTCTGACGTTTATGAACACCTTGTAGCTCGAAAGAGGAGCAGAATACGTTTACTTATCGAGCATGTCGACGAGCGCCTTGTACAATGACCAGGGAGGAGCGGAGGCTGCGGTGGAAGCGGGTCAGGAGAGCACCCCGACCTCCGCCAGCACCGGAGCTGCCTTTGGACTTTTCAGCGCTGACTTTAAAAAGTAAGTTAGCTCAACGTGTGTTCCGTCCACTGTCAGCACGGTTCATCTGTGGTAAAGTTACACGGTTACGGTCGACTTTACGAGGCTAACTGCCGCTGTGGCTAAAATGAAAAGGGGTCAGCTAGACCACACTCTGCAGCATCAACAAGCCAGGCAGCGATGGCGACTGTCGGTTAGCTGTTTTCCATGGTGCAGCTAAATATCGAACTGTCGTAAATATCAAAAATGTCCAAGTTTACTCGAGCTTTTGGGTAATATCACACACCTGCTGTATTGTTGTATTTAACCCCTGTTTATCAGTGTTTACCCACAATTCATAAAGGAGAGCAGGTCTAGCCCGACCCCCTTATTAATTTGCTGTTGAACCCTTATTAACTCCTTCAATATAAGTTGCATGGCAGTTTCATTAATTCCCAAGGCACCCAGAAATCAACCACTACTCAAGAGAGATAAGCAATTAGCATCAATCTAGATAAATTACTTTTTTTAAGCAAAAATGTCAAACATGTACTAATACCAGCTTCTCAAATGTAAATATTGACTAATTTCATTTTTTGTATGATAATAGATTAAACATTGTTGGGTTAAGACTGTTGGTCAGACAATGCAAGAATAATGGTGGACATTTTTCACTGTATTTTATGAAAGTAATTGTCAGACCAACTGATAATGAAAGTAATTGTTGGTTGCAACATTACAGTTCCCCTATGACGGAGCAATACCCACGTTATTCTGTGTGAGAATTACTTGACACACGTTCAGCAGCAACACTTTCAAAACCCTGAAATAGTCTATTGTCCACATAATCAAAAACTAGAATTGTTTTTTGATATTAATGCGTTTGGTTTGCTTTGACTCAAAAGCCTGGAAAAATAGGCAAGATGAACTTTTTAATTAGCATTTGCTCTGATTTTTCCTGTATTATATAGTAAATGTTTTTTATATTTTGCTGCAGACAAGGAATGTCTCACGATTTGATTGTGAAAGTTGCCCTGAAAGCTGACCTTTTGTCATAGTGTAGTAATAATGAAATCATATTTTTACATAGAAGTTGCAACAATGAGAAGAATTTAGTAGTTTGGTCGTAATACCTTCAAAGAGGGTCTAACTAGATAAAAATGGCACAGACTGATAAGTCTTCCAGATCAGCTTCAGTTAACAAATCTTTAACCAGTTCAGTGAGTCTCTAATCACTGAAGAGTGATTCATAGGAACAGTACAGTAGTGGTTTTCTTCAGAGAGTCAGCAGAAATGACACTCAGGCTTCAGACTGCCTACCCTCCACATTCCTTTGCAGTATTAAAATGGAGAACAGCCTTTGGGCAGATGCTGCAGAGCAGCCCAACCTGGTACAGTGTGCTTTTATTAACCGCTGAGCTTCTTACACTTGCTAAAGCACGGTCTTCTTCAGAGGCAGAGCTTTTGTACATCCGTACACTGTAAGAAAACAGTGAAATCATCCATGTAAAGAGCGTTGGTGGTGAATTTTGAACTAAAAATGTTGAACTTTTGTTCATAAACCCTCATGATTTTATGTGGTCGACCATAAATTAGCCATATGTACGCATATTGGAACCATACTAGAGCAATGATTTACATCTCAGCCTGCAGGTGGATTGCACTGGCCACAATACGCCTTATCGTACTGCAGTCAAATGCCGAATGTTTTCAGTGGAGAACTGCAAAACATTACTCGTCATCAGAGTTGTTATTATCTGTCTTTTATTCCATAAACCCTGGTGTCAAAACGTGTGTTAACCATTAGATTATGATTGGAGGTGTACTGCTTTAACTTCTGATGAGTTTATCCTGTAAACAAGTTTAAGCAGTAACTTCAGTGTATGAGACCCCTCCCATGCTTAGTCCTCAGTGTAAAAGTACCCCTGTATTGATCATATTATATGAGACTTCAGTGCTATAACCCTGTTTGTCAGAGATGTGTGCAGAATACTACTGTGGATCTGATCACCCTACTTGTAGCCAATAGTCTGAAATCAGTGGTAAAATATAGCTTGGTTAATTTGTGTTGAAAATCCCATGACATACACAGGGTTTGTGTATGGTAGATTTATTATTAGGCGTATTAGCATTATTCAATAAATTACATTTGTAGATTAATTCTGACTCCTCAGAGCTTCTTGAACAACCTGTGACTAAACAGGCAATTTAGTAATTTACACATAATTGTTCAGTTGTAAAAACTCATCCCCTTTGAAGAAATGTGTAACACGCTGTTTAGAAAGATTAGGGCTTTATATAGAAAAGCAGTAAGGCATTTACTTAGATCTGCAGCTAATGATTATTTTTATTATAAATGACAGATACTGGCAATTATTTTCTTGAATACATAATTTTTTTTAGTTTAAAATAAAAAAACAGTGAAAAATGTCCGTCCCAGTTTCCAAAACCCAGAAATCTTCAATGTTCTGTCACATAAAACAGAGGGAAGCAGGAAGTCAAGATGCTTGAAGGGCTGAAAACAGCATTCTTTTATATTTTTACATGATGATTGACCGAAAAATGATCAATCAATTAACAAAATCATTTACAGATTATTTTTTTCTGTCTAATGACTAATCATCTCAGATCTGCAACAAGTTCATATTTAAGTCAAAATGTTGAAGCTGATTGAATTTGGCTTCAAATTGGCCAAACCTTAATATCATAATGCCTGTGTGATGATAGACAGGAAAAGAGTTATCTAGACTTATATTTATATATTTCAGAGTTTGAGCTACTAGAATTTGTCAAGGCTTCTGACCTTGTGGACCTAAAGCACCATATGAGTTTCTGATATAGTCATGTGGGTGCCCAAGGTTCTCTGTCTTTTCCAGGTGAAGCAGTCATAGAGAATAATCACCTTATCATAGCCATTTTTTAATCAATTTCACTGCATTGTGAGCATGTTTTGGTCATATGGTTTGAGTTTCAGCTCAAAAACCTGACACTAGAGGGCAGCCAATCATCAGTGTAACCATCCCTTGCATTTTGTAATTTAGTGTAAAAATCAGGCATTATGCATCTTAGCTGCTTTGGTTTGACGCTGTCTTAGTGGGTGAGAAGCTACGCACCGCACCTGATCTTCGTGTGAAGACCTGGTGAGCTGCTTAGTCAGTTAAAGACGTTTGTGTCTCTAACTTTCCTGAAATCTGGCAGACTTTTTTTGTGTTGGGTTACACTGCAGCTTCTCATTTTGTTTTGAGCAAGCTCTTTCTAGCTGTGAAATTTAAGATGGAGATTTGTTTTAAGGGCAACTTTCATTTACCAAAAGTGCTGAATATTGCTTAGTATGCTAAAGTGAACCTCTAAACTGCCTCACATGACCATCTGCCCTGTTAGGCAAGGCTAGGTCATATGTTTGCAGACCTCTAGGCCAAGCTGCAAGACCAGGAAGAGAATACCAGGAGCATGAATGATGCTTCTGTCTGACACATGTTTGTCTGACACAATTCACAATACCCAGGCCTGTGCATCCTAATACATGTTATATATCTGTTCAGTTATATATCTTACATATTCGTTAATTCAAGTTAAGCCCCAGCCTGTTTCAGCAGTTGATAACATATTCAGAGTCTTTTCCGCTAAAGTTAAATAAAGCTGTGCTTTTGTTATTTGAAATAGCTGAACGTTTGTCACATGTTAACATTCCTGTAATGTTCTGTAGTCTTAAAGGCCTCCTCTTACTGACTGAGAGCTCTATGCCAGGCCCTAGC